TATTTTATTTTATTTTTATTTCTAGGAGAGAGAGAGAGAGACAGCGTGAGCAGGGGAGGGTCAGAAAGAGAGGGAGTCACAGACTCTGAAACAGGCTCCAGGCTCTGAGCTGGCAGCACAGAGCCTGACGGGCTCGAACCCACGAACCGTGAGATCATGACCTAAGCGAAAGTTGGACGCTTAACCGACTAAGCCACCCAGGCGCCCCGTAATTAATTATTTTTTAAAGATTTCTTTTGAGAGTGAAAGACAGGGGGATCAGGGAGGGGTAAAGAGAGAGGAGGCAGAGCATCTAAAGCAGGCTCTGTGCTGACAGCAGTGAGCCCGATGTGGGGCTCAAACTCATGTACTGTGAGATCATGACCTTAACTGTGAGATCAGGACCTGAGCTGAAGTTGGATGCTTTACTGACAGAGCCACCCAGGAGATCCCAAATTAACGATTTTAAAGCAAACGATTTAGTGGCATTTAGTACGTTCACAATACTGTGTAACTACCACCTCTATCTGATTCCAGAACATTTTTATCACACCAAAAAGAAACCCCTACACCCATTAGAACAGTCACTCTCCCTTCCCTCGTCTCCACAGCCCTGGCAGCCCCTTGTCTGCTCTCTGTCTCTATGAATTTACCTATTTTGTGTATTTCATAGAAATGGAATCATACAATATGTGACCTTTGTGTATGGTGTATTTCATTTAACATATTTTTGAGGTTCATGCATGTTGTATGTATCAGGGCTTCAGTTCTTTTTATGGTTGAATAAAATTCCATTACACGGATAGACCACATTTTGTTCATCCATTCATCCATTGATGGACATTTGGGTTGTTTCTACTTTTTGGCTATTAAGAAGGGCATTAAACATTCAACTGCTTTCCCCTACCGCCTTCGTAAAGACCACAAAGATGGTCTCTAGATCCTGTGATTAAACTACAGTGGAGAGATGAATGGGGTCTGTGGGGTTCCAGAGAAAGAAGTTCCAGAATCTTCCTCAAGATAGCAGGAAGGGGTAGAAGAAGGTTTCATGCAGGAAATTGGGCCTTGAGTACTAGTGGACCTTGGGGGCATTTTATATTATGGCCAAGGGGGCCTCATAGCCTCCAGTGGGGGAGAGGAAGACAGACTCACCAGATTCAGGAAGTGGTTCAGACAGTGGCTTCTTAAATGAACAGGCAGAAAAGACCCTAATTTGGGGCCTGTGAGTTTGAGAAGGGGAAGAGGCCTGTTTTGCAAGATCCCACTCAGTGCCAGACCAGAAGTTGTGCTCTGGTGGGAAGTTGCAGCTAATACAGTCACAGGAGTGTGAGACTCTCCTTGAAGAGATAGCGGGCACCATGCTGGTGGATGGACATTCTCACATCCTGGGTGGAGTACCGAAGGGAGAAGCCCACTTAAGGGAAGACATGGAGCCAATTTGGGATGCATTGAAATTGAAGAGTCTGTGGTCCTTCAGGGAGAGAGATGTCCAGGAAGACATAAGGCTTTATCCAGGAAGACATAAGGCTTTAGTTTAGGAGAGAGTCCTGGGCTGGAGGTACAAGTTGAAGGCCCCAGCAGAGCCCATAGACATCGTCCCCTTGCACTCAAGGGCAAGGCATTTCAGAGGTTCCCTGGCCCACTGCATGTGCTGTGTCCAAAGCTGGGCTCTGAAAACAAAGGGCCAGATGTAGTGCTGTCCCTGCCCTGGGAGAGCTTATAGTCTCGTGGAAATCAGAGTTGGATATTTACAAGGATAATCTTTTCTTTTAAATTTTTAAAAAATGTTTTATTTATTTCTGAGAGAGAGAGAGAGAGAGAGACAGCATGTGCAGGGGAGGGTCAGAGAGAGAGAGAGACACACAGAATCTGAAACAGGCTCCAGGCTCTGAGCTAGCTGTCAGCACAGAGCCCGACGTGGGGCTCAAACCCACAAACCGTGAGATCACAACCTGAGCCGAAGTCGGACACTTAACCGACTGAGCCACCCAGGAGCCCCAAGGATAATCTTTTTTTAAATTTTTTTTAATGTTTTTTTTTTATTTATTTCTAGGAGAGAGAGAGACAGCGTGAGCAGGGCAGGGTCAGAGAGAGAGGGAGTCATAGACTGAAACAGGCTCCAGGCTCCGAGCTGGCAGCCAGCACAGAGCCCGACACGGGGCTCGAACCCACGAACCGCGAGATCATGACCCAAGTGAAAGTCGGGCGCCTAACCAACTAAGCCACCCAGGCGCCCCAAGGATAATCTTTTTTTAAAAACGTGAATGTGTAGTGGAGCCTGGGTGGCTCAGTCAATTAAACATCCAACTCTTGGTTTCAGCTCAGGTCATGATCTCATGGTTTCAGGAGATCAAGCCTCACGTTGGATTCTGGGTTGGCAGCATGGCGCCTGCTTGGGGTTCTCTCTCTCTCTCTCTCTCTCCCTCCCCCTCTCTTCTTCCCCCACTCACACTGTTTCTGTCAATAAATAAATAAATAAATAAATAAATAAATAAATAAAGGTGAATGCAAATTTCATTAAAGAGTACTATTCAAATAGAAAAGGGCACAAATCACAAGTGTGTTACTTAAAAATATTTCACAGAGTGACCTCATCTGAGCAATTAAGACCCAGATCAAGACACAGATCTTACCTGGAACCCCCAGAACATCCCCACTGTCCCCTCCAGTCACTATCCCCCAACAGCAACCAGTATCTTGACTTCTAACACCAAAGATTAGCCTTGTCTGTTTCTAACCTTGTAAAGAGGCTGTCACATCGCGGGGAACTCTTGTGTCTGCGTTCTTCACTCCACATTAGGTTTGTAAGATTCTCCCCTTTACTTATTCCATGGCATGACTACTCTGCAGTTTATCTACCTGTCTTACTGCTGGTGGGCATTTGGACAGGTTCCATTTTTCATCCATTGCAACTACAGCTGCCAAGAACTTTCTTGCACACATTTGGTGATTGTTTGTATGCACTTCTGTTGGATACACACCTTGCAGTGAAATCAATGGCTTGTGCACTCAGTGTTAGTAGAGAGTAACATTTTTCCAAATGGTTGTACCAATTCTCACTCTCTTATTCTTGTACAGGGGCCACACTAATAATCTTCTCCAGATCTTTCCACTTTTTGTATATGTGTTGCTGAAGCACACCTGATATTCTTTAGGAAAAAAAAATTTTTTTAAGTTTTTAATTATTTTTTAAATTTTATTATCTAATTTTATTTTTATATTTATTTTATATTCATTTTACTTATTATTTTATTATTTATTATGGTTAAGTTTTATTTATTTATTTAGTAATCTCTACACCCAATGCGGAGCTCAAACTCACAACCTTGAGATCAAGAATCACATGCTCTTCTGACTGAGCCAGCCAGGCACCCAAAGGAAAAAAAAAAGTGTTTATTGTGGTAAAGTATATACTGTTTTATCTGTACAATGAGTGGCATTAAGTACATTCACATTGTGCAATCATCACCACCATCCATCCCTAGAATTTTCTAAACTGAAATTCTGTACCCATTACATATTAACTACCCACCCACTCCCCCAACCTCTCTACCCCTTGGTGACCACTATATATATTACTTGGTTTTATTGTGGTAAACAAAACAAAACAAAACAACATAAAAATCTACCATCTGAAACTTTTTTTTAGAGAGAGAAAGAAAGCACACACACGCAAGAAGCGGAGGGGCGGACAGAGAGAGAGAGAGAGAAAGAATCTTAAGCAGGCTCCAGGCTCAGCTAGAAGACTGATGCTGCCTCAATCCACAGCTGTGAGATCATGACTTGAGCTGAAATCAAAAGTCAGACACTTCACCGTCTGAGCCACCTAGGTGCCCTAATCTTAAACATTTTTAAGTGTACAATTCAGCAGTGTTAACTATATGCACATCATTGATTTCTAGAAAACCTTCATCTTGCAGAACTAAAACTCTACCTATTGCATTGCAGCTTCCTATCTGCCAACCCCCACCCCCTCCCAACTCCCTCTACCTTTGTATCTAAGAATTTGATTACTTTAGATACTTTGTATAACTGGAATCATGCAGTATTTATCTTTTGGTGAAGGCTTATTTCCCTTAATGTAATGTCTCCAACGCTTGATATTGTTTTTAAAAAAAAAAAATTTTTTTTTACGTTTATTCTTGAGAGACAGAGACACAGTGTGAGTGGGGAAAGGGCTGAGAGAGGGAGGCACAGAATCCAAAGCAGGCTGTCTGTGCTGACATCCCAGGGCCTGACATGGGGCTCGGACTCACAAACCATGAGATCATGACCTGAGCTGGAGTCGGATGCTCAACCGACTGAGCCACTCAGGAGCCCCAACACTTGATATTCTTGATATTGTTTTTATTATTTTCGCCAATGTGGTGGCCATGCAATAGCACAGCATTGGGGTTTTTATTTGCCTTTCCTTGACAGCTACTGAAGTTAAACACTTACCTATCTGCTAATTGGCCCTCTGAATATTTTGCTTTTTATTGGGTTATCTGCCTTTTTCTTATATATTTTTTTTATACTGTGGGTGAATCCTTTGTTAGATACACGTATTGGGAAATATCTTCTCCTGCTAGAGGGTTACATTTAGAAATAGATTTACTGGGCCGCCTAGGTGGCTCAGTCAGTTAAACATCTGACTTCAGCTCAGGTCATGATCTCACAGTCTATGGGTTTGACACCCCTGCATCGGGCTCTGTGCTGACAGCTCAGAGCCTGGAGTCTGCTTCAGATTCTGTGTCTCCTTTTCTCTCTGCCCCTCCCCTGCTCATGCTCTCTTTCTCCTTCAAAATTAATAAACATTAAAAAAAAATTTAGGGGCACCTGGATGGCTCAATCTGTTGTGCATCTGACTTTGGCTCAGGTCATGATCTCATGGTTTGTGGGTTCGAACCCTGTGTCAGGATCTGCACTGAGAGCTCAGAGCCTGGAGCCTACTTCCGATTCTCTGTCTCCCTCTCTCTGGCACTCCCCTGCTTGTGCTCTGTCTCTCAATAAATAAACATTTAAAAAATTTTTAAATAAAAATGAAGAATCAGTGCCTGGCACACATTTCCTCAAAGATGCCCTGTCTGGGCTCCCAAGGGGGGGCCGTGGGTGGGGCTGTCAGTCTGGATCTTGATCTCTGCATACTCCGTGGTTTCCCATTCCTGGAAGTTGTGTGGCCTCAGCCCTTGGAAGGTGAGGGAGGCGTAGTAGAGCTCTTCCTGCCCCTTCTCTGAGAGGGAGGCAGCTGGGTCTGGGGGCGGGGGGGCTGACGGGCTGTCTGACCAGGGTTTGTCCAGGTGACCCTGAATGGGACGAGAGAAAGGCATCGGAGCTGGCCTTTCGGTTTGGAGAAGGGAAGTAGGGGCTTGGGGGACACTTACCCATTTACCACTTCATGCCCATTTCCTGAGCGTTCATTCATTCATTCACTCACCCATTCATTCATTTGTAGCTTTAACAAATTTTCATCATAATGGCATTGATTCCTTGTAAATCCCCTCACTCCCCTGTGGATGATACAGCTGTTATCCTTTCATTTTACAGATATGGAAACAGAGTGAGCAAGGTCAAGAAACTCTTGTGGACACACCATCTCTGACCTCAGACAGCCTATCAGGACAAGGAGTCAGTATTCGTTTGTCTTTCTCTCTCACACACACGCGTGCGCGTACACACACACACACACACACACACACATTATCTAATTGCACATTGTGATTTGGTGGGCAGAAGCAGGGCGTTAGGAGTGTGGGTGAGAATCACTGAGGTTTGCAGAAGCCCTGCCAACCCCCACCCCCCCCACAACCCAGGGGCTCACAGGGTGTTGGGGACAGGCCTGTGGTTACTACAAGAAGGCATGATGACAGTTTGCCTGCATAGGGAAAGGGAATATTTAAACTGGAGCATGAAAGGCATTTAGGGGTCTGGCTAATGCAAATGGAGAGGAACAGAGGAAATCATGCATGCAAACACACAGAATTAACAGAGAATGAGCCTTGCCTGGGGACGGGGAGCTCATTTTCAGGGCAGAGGCAGGAAGTGGGCTGGAGGACTCAGCAGGGAACAGATCACAGAACACCAGCCCGAGGAAACTGTGTAAAATATGTGTAAAATACAGTAGCTCCTAGCCACCTGTGGCTACTGAGTATGTGATTCATGGCGATTCCAAATGGAGCTGTGCCATGAGTGTGAAATAAACCCTGGGTTTCAAAGACTTGGTACCAAAGGAAGAAGAAGAAGAAGAAAGAGAATGCAAACTATCTCATTAATAATCTATACATTGATTATTTATGATATGATGGTGAAGTGATATTTTGAATATACTGGGTTAAATAAACATTATATTAAAATCGATCTCATGCTTCTCTCTATTTAAAAAAGTTTTTTTATGTTTATTTATTTTTGAGAGAGAGAGAGCTAGAAACAGAGCATGAGTGGGGAGGGGCAGAGGGAGAGGGAGACACAGAATTCAAAGCAAGCTCTGGACTCTGAGCTGTCTGCACAGAGCCCCATGCCGAGTTTGAGCCCATGAACCATGAGATCATGACTGGAGCCGAAGTCGGATGCTTAACCGACTGAGCCACCCAGGTGTTCCTCTCTATTTTTTAAATGTGGCCACTAGTAACTTTTAAGCCAGGCACATGGCTCACATTATATTCTTGGTGGTCTGTGCTGATCTAGACAGTGGCAGGCACAGGAGTGAGAGTTGTTTGGGGAATTTCTTGCCCAAAGCTTGGGAGGAGAGGTGAGTCCGAGAAGGGTGAGGCCAGTGCCCCAGGAAGGGAGACAGTGAGGGCTCAGCAGGGAAGGGGCAAAATGGAATAAAGCTTTGCTGAAAGGGAGTTGGGTGGGAGAGGAAAATGTGGCTCTCGGGTCTCTGAGCTGACTGCAGCTGGAAATCCCGAGGGAGGACCTCACGGCCTAGTCCCCATGCCTGATGGAAAGATGCCCATGTCACTCACCTGGGAGTCATCCCTGTGCGCTGATTTCTGGGTTGATTTCTGCCTGTAGGTCTTCACTCTGAGGAGAGAGATCGAGGCCCTTCAGTCTGGCTGGCTCACTGCTGGGAGCCTGGGAAGATGACTGAGGCAGCTGTCTGGCTGCAGAGACCATGAGGAGAACGCATATTCCCTCTTCACAACCACCCCATATGGGGAACACACCCCTCCCTGGCCACCGAAGGGTCAGGGCGCTGAATTTCTTTTCTTTTTTTTTTTTTTAATTTATTTCTAGGGGAGAGAGAGAGAGAGAGCGTGAGGAGGGGAGGGTCAGAGAGAGAGGGAGTCACAGACTGAAACAGGCTCCAGGCTCTGAGCTGGCAGTCAGCACAGAGCCCGACGCGGGGCCCGAACCCACGAACCGTGAGATCATGACCCAAGCGAAAGTCGGACGCTTAACCGACTAAGCCACCCAGGCGCCCCAGGGCGCTGAATTTCTGATGCTTTGACGCACTGCGCTCCTCCAGCTCTGGGCTTTGAGTTCAGGAGATTTTCTCAGTCCCCTCTCTGCCCAAACTCGTGAGGCCCTCACCCAAACCGGGGTCACCACTTACACGAAGAAGGTGATGAAGCAGAGACACAGAGCAAGCAGGGCTGTGACACCAGCTCCCCCGATCGCCCCGTGAAGTGCACCTGTCCCGGGCCCTGGTCTCCCTGCAGGTAAGAGGCACCTTGAAGCAGGCACCTGAGCGTTCAGCCTTCTGGAGCCCCGGACCCCGTGGTGCGCCCAGTTCTATCCAGGACTGGCTCCTCGGTCCCCCGCCCCTCTATGGGATCCCAGCCTCCTGTTCCCCAGCCCCTCCCCCACCAACCTTCAGGTGACTCTGACCTCTGGTGCCCCTTGGCCCAGAGTCAGAGGCACTTCTCTGCTCAGCGTCTTCTAGGATCCTGCCTCCTGCACCCCCTTCCTCCAGACATCACCCTCCCCCCACCCCGACACAGCCCCCTGACCTGGCAGCAGCTGGACCACAGCGCTCTGTTCCCCGTGTGCGTTCCAGGCCTCGCAGCTGAGTCTGAGGCTGGAGCCCAGCGGCTCCATGAAGCTCAGGTTGCTGTTGGCCCAGGGCCCCTCCGAGCTGGAGGTGACGGTCAAGGAGGTGTTGCTGTGGTTCGCCTCCAGCAGTCCCTCCCCCAGCCGCCAGTGCAGAGAGGGGGTCAGCTGGGATTGAGCCGAGCAGGTGCAATGCAGCCCCTCGCCCTCCCAGGAGCAGGAGGGACCAAACAGCTTTGGGGGGTCTGTGGAACGACAGGAGAGGGATCAGAAGAGCCCCACCTCCCCAGGACCCAGGCATCCTTTATAGGTATGTTCCAACTCACTCTTCACAAGGAGGCTCAGGGACGCCTCCAGAGAGCCCAGCGCGTGCTGAGCTTGGCAGACGTATTTCCCATGGTCCCCCAATTCCACCCGGGGCAGCTGCAGGACCCCAGGATCTGAGGGTTGCGGAGGCTGTAAGGTCAGGCTGCCCCGGGTCCAGCGCAGCCTGGCAGGGGGGTTACTGTCGTAGACACAGACCAGGTGCAGGGACTGGCCCTCCTGGACTGGGAGAGATGAACCGTTGCCCAGAGCCTCAGGTGCTGGCAAGACAGAGAGAAAGTTAAGCCCCAGCCCTCAGTGGGGGGTATTCTGTCTCTATCTCTCTCTTTCCCTCACATCATTTAAGTCTGTTTCTTCTCTTCCACTGCATTATGGGCTTCTACGTTTGGGGTCAGCTCCAGGGGACAGAGCTGGGAGCGGGCACTACAGCCTTTCCAGGGGTCCCTCGTGCTTTCATCTGAACCACCTCGTTTCTCACCTGCCTACCTCTGTCATCTGTGCCAACATAGATCCCATATTGGCCTCCAAGAACCTGGCCATTCTGCCTTTCACGGAGTTCACTAAGACCCGTCTCATTTAGTTGGATCTGAGAGTTCAGTCTTATGAGTTAGATACCCCAGAATCACTGTGATGTGTTTTGTGACAGGGGCCCATTGTTCAAAGGAAGCCCTGTGGATGGTTGTTCAGTGAGACCGGCAGAGCAGGGAGGGCTTCCTGCAAGAGGAGAGGCTACGGCGGAGCATGAGAGGGGCTGGGAGCTGGCTGGAGGACGATGCTGGCATGGAAGGGCAACTGCAGGAAGCAGACATAGAAAGTGCAGCTACGGCGGGGGTGTGAGATGGTCTATATGTCAGGGAAAATCACATAGTCCCGTAAGGCTTGAGTGAATGTGTATGTTTGGGAGTGTTTGCCTATGAGGCTCCTGGAGACTAAAAAAATAATATTAGACTAGGGAAAGACAGAGGTTGAAAGGAAACATTGGTACCCATAACGATGCTTTACTGGTAAATGTTTAACAACCAGGTCATTGGGGAGGGCGGAGGGGAGGGAAAAGAAAAAGCCCTGATTTTTGTCATTTGCCAATTTCCTTGGTGTAAATACTTCCCTGCTGGCCAATTTCAAGCACCCAACTAGATGTCACTGAACCCAGAGTTGAGGAAACATGGGTGTAATTGGCTCCCGTCCACCAGTGAAAGCCAACTCCAGGAGACCAATGAATGCAACACTTCCCCTCAAAAAAAAGGCATGTTTTTGCCTAACAAAGTCACCCCATGCTAAGTCAAAGAGGCCATTATTAGGCAAATAAATCCTTTCAACTAACACACAACTGATTTCCTTCATATAAAAAGCACTTCTTCAAATCACTAAGAAAAAGTCCACAAAGAAATACAAATGATTCTCAAATGTAATGGAAGATACATAACATTGTTTACAAAATGGTCATTCAGTTAAAATGGCAGTCAGTTCACTTAATATATCAGCAAGGATGGAAGTGTTCAGCAGCTTGAGATTATCAACAGAACAACTTCCACGCCACATGATTTGGCAGTATCTGTGGAAATTGCAAACACACGCTTTGATCTGAAACTTTTCTTCTTGAGATAATTACCTTATGGACACATGTACACGTATGGGGAATGTTTGTACAAGTTATTTGTTGCAGTGTTATTTGTCTTTTTTTATGTGGGTTTTGTGTGTGTGTGTGTGTGAGAGAGAGAGAGAGAGAGACAGCGTGAGAAGGGGAGGGTAAGAGAGAGAGGGAGACACAGAATCCAAAGCAGGCTCCACAGGCTCTAGGCTCTGAGCTAGCTGTCAGCACAGAGCCCGACGCAGAGCCCGAACCCACAAACCGCGAGATCATGACCTGAGCCGAAGCCGGACACTTAACCTACTGAGCCACCCAGGCACCCCTGTTGCAGTATTATTTGTCTTAACAAAAGTCTGGAAACACCATGGCTTCCCACCAATGGGGGCTAATTAAATACTTTACCTTGTAATACACTTCGAATTAGAAGACCGTGGAGTCATCAATAAGGGTTCTAACGTCTCTTAGTTGGGACAAACGTATCATGACGATGTAAGACTTTTAATGACAAGCAAAGCTAGGTGAGGGCTTTATGGAAACTCTGTGTACTATGTAAACCAAAATTACTCCACAGCGAAATGTCTATTAAAAAATAATAGCTAAGTGAAATAAGTCAGTTAGAGAACAACAGGTACCATGTGATTTCACTCAGATGTGGAATTTCAGAAGCAAAACAAACGAGCAAAGGGGAAAAAAGAGAGAGAGAGACAAACCAAGAGAACAAACTGATAGTTACCAGAGGGGAGGAGGTGGGGGTGGGGAAATAGGTGATGGGGATTAAGGAAGGCACTTGTAGGGGTGCCTGGGTGGCTTAGTCGGTTAAGCGTCCGACTTTCACTTAGGTCATGATCTCGCGGTTCGTGGGTTCGAGCCCCGCGTCGGGCTCTGTGCTGACTGCCAGCTCAGAGCCTGGAGCCTATTTCAGAGTCTGTGACTCCCTCTCTCTCTGACCCTCCCCTGCTCACACTGTCTCTCTCTCTCTCTCTCTCCTAGAAATAAATAAAACATTTAAAAAAATTTTATAAAAAAAAAAAAGGAGGGCACTTGTGATGAGCACCAGGTGATGTGTGGAAGTGTTAAATCACTATTTCATACACTTGAGACTCATATTGTACGTTAACTAACTGGAATTTGAATAAAAACTTAAGAGCGGTGTATAGAGTATGGTGTATATGTATGTGTGTGCTTTTAAATGGAGATGCGTAGGGGCGCCTGGGTGGCTCAGTCAGTTAAGTGACCGACTTCGACTCAGGTCATGATCTCACAGTTCATGGGTTCAAGCCCCACGTCGGGCTCTGTGCTGACAGCTGACTCAGAGCCTGGAACCTGTTTCAGATTCTGTGTCTCCCTCTCTCTCTGACCCTCCCCTGCTCACGCTGTCTCTCTCTCTCTCTCTCTCTCTCAAAAATAAAGCATTAAACATTAAAATAAATAAATAAATGGAGATGTGTAAATGATGTTTGGAAAGATAACCAAGAGGGGAGATTCGCAGGTGCTGAACAGTATTTTATTCTTATTCCTAGTTTTGTTAGGGACTGGAATGTGTTCCCTTCAAGCTCAATGCCCAAGCCCTAACCCCCAATATGGTGGTATTTGGAGGTGTTTGGATGGGCCTTTGGGAGGTGATAGGGTTAGATGAAGTAATGAGAGTAGGGGCTTCAGGATGGGATTAGTGCTCTTGTAAGAAGAGACACCAGAGAGCTTTCTTTTTTTTCTTAATGTTCTAATGTTTATTTATTTTTGAGGGAGACAGAGAGAGAGAGAGAGAGCAGGGAAGGGAGATAGAGAGAGAAAGACATAGAATCTGAAGCAGGCTCCAGGCTCTGAGCTGTCAGCACAGAGCCCAATGCGGGACTCGAACCCACGAGCTGTAAGATCATGACCTAAGCCGAAGTCAGACACCCAACCAACGAGCCACCTGGGTGCCCTAGAGAGCTTTCTTTCTTTCAGATGCATGAGAGAAAACACGGCCAAAAAGCATCGCTCTCACCAGGAGTGAGCTCTCCCCAGGAGAAGCTCTCCCCCAGAACCATACTGGCTGGAACCTTGGAACCTTGACCTTGTGTATATTTGCCAGTCTCCAGAAACGTGAGGGATAAATGCCTGAATCTTAAGCCCCTCAGTCTGTGGTATTTTGTTATGGAAACCTGAGCAGACCAACACACTTTACGCTTACTATTTTAAACAATATCATTCTAATGTTGAAGGAAACTGCAGGAATAGGCAGGGTCCCGGTCCTGAGGGAACAGGGAGAGATTTGGGAGGGGACACACCCTCACATCCGGGAGTAGTACACCCATCAGGCATGGAGGTCATGCAAAACCCCTTGGGAATCGGGTCAGCAGTGGGAGGAAGGCAGTTTGTAAGCTGAGGAGCCAATGGGAGGTCTCCCACCTCCGCTGTCCCCACATCTGGCCTGAGCCTTTCTTCCATCTGAGTTCTAAATCCCCATCTCTGCTCTGAGGGGTGGAGACAGATGCCCCTTCCGTCAAAGCCTGAGAGGAGAGGTCGTGTCCTACCTGTGCCTTCTCTCCGGAAAACACTGATGGTCAGGTTCTGGGACGCATCTGCACAAATAGACATAAATGTTTTCATAGGCAGGAAGATGACTGTTGGCCCTATTCTCCCAGAAACTTCAGAAATAGGAAAAGGGTGGAGTCGGGTGTTCTCTTTCCTTCCTCTCCAGGATTCCAGACCCTCCTTCCCCCAAGCCCACTGCCCCCAGGGACCCTGGCGTCCTGGCCTGGCACTCACAGGAGACATTGAGCTGGATGGTTCTCTCTGTGCTCACATTAGCTCCAGGGAAGGTCACTCGACAGGTGAGGTTGGTGCCATGGTCCTGGGGCCTCGGGATGAGGGTGAGCACCGAAGAGAAGTGTGTCCTGGGGTCCAGGGAGGTGAGGGCGTCCCCGATCCAGGAGAAGGTGGGGGCCGTCCCCCTCTGACAGGCCCAGGGCACGCTACAGGTAATGTTGCTGGGCTGGCCAGATTCTAGGGGCCCCTGGATGTGGATGTCCGGTATCCGTGTCAGAGCTGACGGGGAGACAGAGAGGCTCTGAGTGTTCCCCAGAAGCAGCCTCTACCTCGGGCCAGCCGTTTCCTCCCCAGCCAGGATGGAGATCAGGGGGTCCCCTCCCAGGCCTGCCCTGGGGGCCCTCAGGACTCATGCATGTCCCCTCCTGGACCCCACTCCTTACCTGTCACATGCACGGAGAACCGGTTCCATTGGTAATTATATCTCACATAAGACCCTCTCTCCACCCTAAAGAAGTATGCCCCCGAGTCACTCCTCCGTGCGTCTCTGATGTCCAGGGAGCAGTTGTAGTCCTGGGGGTTTCCAAGGAGGTGGAATCGGCCTTGGGTCTCCTGCTCCACTTTTTGACCTGGGTTGTTTGTGGCCACTGGAGCACTGCGCCCTGTATGGGTCCCTTCACGGAACCAGTAGCCATGAGCTGGGTCACTGTCATTGTATTGGACTTGGGGGTGGGAGAAATCACAGGGCACAAACACACACAGGCCCTCCTGCACCGTCACGGTCTTCTGCACTTGCAGGTGGAATCTGGAATCCTGAGCCTGGGACCCTGCAGGGAATTGGTGGTCAGTGGCAGTCCCCGCCCACCCGGCCCTCTCCCCTCGGCTCACTCACCGGCCCACAGCGGCAGCAGCAGCAGCGGCAGCATGTGTGGGGTAAGGGCCATGGTGCCTTTGTGTCGCAGGACGGAGAGGAAGCCCCGATAGGAAGCCCAGGGCCGATGTCTGGAAGGTGACTGTCCACAGAAGAGGAACTTGGCTCCAGCATTGCTCTCAGAGGTGGCGTGGCCCCTGAAGATTAACCACTCCTACTTTCCAGATAGGGTGCAAGCAATCTACCCCCATTCCCCGGTCCCTGTCCGTGCCCTGTCCCTCATGTGCCTCTGTCCCCACCAGGAGGGCAGGTACTACCTGGCCAATGACAGCTTCTAGAAGCCCAGAGGGTCAGTCCTGCCAATTGTGGGGCTCAGGAAGGGGTTTAACCACTCTGTGCAGGGGAAGCTTGAAGCATTAAAGATGGGGACAGGTTCCCCACACACACCCCAGGTGAGGGAGATGATGATGAATGAATGAATGAATCAATGAACGTGATAAATGTATCATGAACAACTCCTTTCAGGGGAGTGGAGTCAGAAGGGAGATTGACAGACTTTGTGTCCGGTCTTGAGAACTTCCCTGACACCCAAGGAGATGGAGACACTCCAGCCCACACCAGCTCCTGCTGGGAGAGTGTGAGCTGTTAGGACCAGGCCGGGGCTTGTAGGAAACTCCATTGCTCTGTTGCTAGAAGGTGAGTTCCCAGGTCTGAATGGCCAGAGTGGACGGGACCAGGACTCTGAGGGGGGGTCTTGGGCTTCCTGGATGGCTCATAGCCCCCTGCCTCAGGCTTCCCTGGGGTTACCTGCACCAGGCCATGCCTGGGAGTTGGGCATTTGCTGCAAGATGACAGCACAACATGATGTTGAGGGAGAATGTGCAGGTGTGCCTGACCCTCCTAGCCTCCAAGCCTCAGTCTCCCCAGGAGTCCCATGGAGAGATCACAATACTCAACACTTTGTCTGCGGGACAATCCCATAGGAAGACAGAGGCGGGCATTTGCGGCAGTCGCGGGTGTGGCCATCTTGCATGTCAAATGTCTGGCCCTGTCCCTTCCTCAGAGGTCATTCTGAGTCCTGCCTTTAGTAAGAAGATTCTGGTGATCAGCCCTGCCCTAAGGCTTCTTCATCTATGGCCTCCAGTGAACGGATCAGGTTTCCTGGGACTGCACCAGATAGCTCCAGGCTCGGGCATGTCTCCCTAATGCTCAGTGTGCTGCCTTTAACCACTCTGCACAGTCAGATGCTTATGCTCACAGGGCCAAATGGTGTACCTCCAAAATTCATATGTTCATTTCCTAATCCTCAGTACCTCCAAAAACCATTGTCTTTGGAGAAAGTCTTTAAAGAGATCATTGAGGTAAAATGAGGCCATTGGGATGGGCTGTGATTCAATAAGACTGGTGTCTTTACAAGAAGATTAGGGCACAGACACACAGACAGGTGGACACAGGGAGGAAAGGTACCACCTTCAAGCCAAGGAGAGAGGCCTTAGGAGGAACCCGTTCTGCCGACAGCCCCAGCCTCTGGGGCTGGGTTATTTAAGCTGCAGGTTTCGTGGCACTGTGTTGTGACAGACCTAGCCAACCAGTGCATGGGGGGTTTTAAGAAGATGGATGCATTCACACATGGGAAGTGCTCCCAGCAGGCTGGCCTGGCCCACGCTGGACAAAGTCGGCACATTGGCCAGTGGCCAGTCTATAGGATGGGGCTGATCTGAAGACGGAGGAAAAGGGAAGGGACAGATTTGGCAACTGGAGGAAACATCCACTGCTCTTCTGTGCTCGGATCTCTACCTCGCTCTTACTTAACCCCAGCCACACTTCCTCTTCTCTCCCCAGGATATGACAGGCTTCGTGGGCCTCTGTTCCGGCTGGTCCCTCCGCTGGCTGGGCTGCTCTGGTCTTCTGAACAGGGGCTCCTGGAGGCTGGGCTGAGGCAAGGCTGACCTTGGAGGAGCAGCAGCCAGGGCCAGGATGGAAGAATCAGAGACACAGTCACAGCCTGGTGTGGACAGGGCTGACCAAGGAGGGAGGACGGGGCTTTTGGAGCCCAGAGGAGGGGGTGAGGATGTGCCTGGAGGATGGGACAGCTGAGCTGGAGCTGGAGGGTGAGAAGGGTTTTCTCGGAGGCAGGCTCGTCTTATTCCAGAGAGCAGGACCTCAGGCAAGCACGCTGGTGTGAGCAGACGGGGTGTCTGCCTGCAGCACTGGCTGCGGCCTGCCAGCCCCTGTTCCACTCAGTCTTTCAGGCTCTCTGTTCCAGGGGCCAAGGAAATCCAGTCTGATCTCCTGAACCACCACATCCCCCCATCCCCTCCTCCTCCTCCCATCTTTCTCCCCTCCTCCTGTCTTCTCCCCCTCCTCCTCATCCCCTTTTCCTCCACATCTCCCTCCCCCTCTGCCTCCTCCTTCTCCCCCCTCCCATCCTCCTCCTCATCCTCCTTCTGTCTGGGAAAAGAGAATGGTAACTGAAGCACCTGATGAGCTCTGTAGCCAATGAAGCTCATAGCTGTGCCAAGCAGGGGACCCTAGTTCCCTCTGACCAGGTCTCTTCATCAACACACAGGTCCCCAGGAAGACACCTCAAGAGCTTCCTCAGGGAGCCCAGAGTCCGGCTGGAAGGAGTTGGAGTATCCAAAAGAGATGTTCTATTGGGCTGGGCTGGGCTGGGCCCAGGAGCACGGGAAGAACTTTCTGAGCACCCTTGGGGGGCTCCCGGCATGTCCCACGAACTCCGCTCACACCCCATGGGGCCCTCAGAGCAAGACTGAGGAGGAGCTCCGGGGACAGAGCCACTTCGTCGTGCACCTGGGCCTCCCACAATGGCCTGTGGCCCCAGAGCCCAGCCATTTTTGCCCCCTGCTCTTTCAGTCCCCACTCCCTTTAGGTGAATTCACTTTGCTTTGCACTTGTCCTGCCTGCATGTCCGTCTTCCAAAGGCTGAGAGACGTTTCCATCTTCCCTGTCCATTCCCTGGTGATCGGCCCGAGTGTGGACACAACTGTTCTTCCTGACACAGGCCAGCAGCTGGCTGGCGAGGTCTCGGGATCTGGTGGTTCAAGGACAGCAGGGACAGGTGGATGGTCATGCTGGTGGGCAGGGGAGGTGTGTACCGAGAACAAAAAGGTGGCCCACTTGGCAGAAAGTGGCCCAGAGTCACAGGGCACCTCGACCTTTCTCTTCTTCTAGGACATTGGATCTGTCTGGCCTGACCCAGAGCAAAGCTTTCTGTGTGGGGAGTCAGTGGCTAATGCCTCATCCTGTGTGGCTGTGATGTAAGTATTTATGAGTGTGTCTGTGGTGTTTGTGTATTGCAGTGTATGTGTCTGTGTATATGCATGTCTATTTGTGTCTGTAGTCTCTGTGTGTGCCTATGTTGTGTGTATGTTTCTTTGGTCTTTGTATACATGTGTGTGTTTGCTGTTTGTGTGTGCATGCCTGAGGCATGTGTGTCTGTGTATATTTGAAGTACGTATGTGTCTGTGTTTCTATGTGTGTCTGTGGGTTTTATGTGCACGTCTCTATTGTGTCTGTACATATGTGTGTATGATTTATGTGTGTGTATTTTGAGGTGTCTGTGATCTTTATATATGTGCGTATTTTTGAAGTACTTGCGTGTCTGTATTTGTGTGTACATGTGTCTGTGTCCTCTGTGTGTGCATATTTGAGTTGTGTATATGTGTCTATATAAATGCCAGTGGTGCATCTGTATATATGTGTGCACACTCAACATCAGTTTCTCAATGATCACATTCATGGACAACATATTGAAGAGTATAATCCATTTCATATTCTCTGTATATCTTTCTCTTTTGTTTTTCTTCAAACTTCTTATCATGAATCAATATAACACATAGTCTACTTATTTATTGTCTGTCTCTCCTGTCACTAAAATGTAATCATCACAAAAGAACTTGTATTTCCCATTTACTGCTGACTCCACTCTGGCTAGAAAGATGCTTGGCATACATTAGGTGATCAGTGAATACTTGCTTTGAGAAGTGTAAGGATGTTGGGGTGCCTGGCTGGCTCGGTCCATGGAGCATGCACCCCTTCATCTTGGGGTTGTATTTTCGAGCTCCACGTTGAGGGTAGAGACTACTTAAAAAATAAAATCTTAAAAAAAGAATAGGGGCGCATGGGTGTTTCGGTTGGTTAAATGTCTGACTTTGGCTCAGGTCATGATCTCGCAGTTTGTGGGTTCGAGCCCTGCATCAGGCTCTGTGCTGACAGTTAGCTCAGAGCCTGGAGCCTGCTTCAGATTCTGTCTCCCTCTCTCTGCTCCTCCTCCGCTTGCCCTCTGTCTCTGTCTCTCTCAAAAATAAATGAACATTGAAAAAAAGAATTATAAGAATATTTAGAATAAGTGAAATAAGATAGCTGGCTGCCTCTAATGAAAAAGTATTTATTTTTTTTAATGTTTATTTTTGAGAGAGAGAGACAGCACAAGTGGGGGAGGGGCAGAGAGAGAGAGGGAGACGCGGAATCCGAAGCAGACTCCAGGCCCTGAGTTGTCAGCACAGAGCCCGACACTGGGCTCTGACTCACAAGAACCATAAGTTGGATGCTTAACCGGCCGAGCCACCCAGGCACCCTATTTCAAATGCTATAATTTATAGATAACTACTAGCAATGCAAATAGTTCTTGTCCATAGACATGCATATACATTCTGGCTGGCTGGGGAGGACCTGAATCCTCCTACAAAGCCAGTTTTACATGCCTTCACAATTTCATTTCAATATTCCTTTACTCCATATAAATTTGTGCATCTTTAATTTCTGCCTGCTCCTTTCATTCATAATGAGTTAAATAAAATGGGGCATTGCTGTTCAGTGGGTATAAAGTTTCAGTCATGCAAGGTGAAAAAGTTCTACAACATAGTGTCTATACTAGGCATATTAGTTAACACTAATGTACACTTAAAAGTTTGTTAAGAGTATAGATCTGATAGAGACTGGTTTTTTGCAAAATAAAAAAATCTCTTTTTTTAATTTAAATTTTAGTTAGTTAACATACAGGGCAATATTGGTTTCAGGAGTAGAATTTAGTGATTCATCACTTACATATAATACTTAGTGCTAAAAAAATCTTTAACACATGCTTATTTTCTATCTACATGAGGG